TTTATTAATAGGATTAGGGATAATTAGGTTTATAAATATAGGGGTATTGTACACTTTTTAATCAATCAATCATATATCAATACAAAGCAAGATTATTCCAATATAATTCTTATTTTCAATACTTATTACAAGAATTTCTAAACGCTTCCGCACCAGAGAGCATTGGCATTTTATAGACTTGAAATAGAAGGAAGAACACTATAGTAGATGAGGAAGAAAGGTGGGTTCACTTTCCCATGAAGGTGGTGTATTTTGTTACTCCATGTGCAGCTTTGTGATTTAATACACATATTCCACCACCAGTCACTGAGAAATATAGACAGCACTTTATGTCTACATTTACAATCAAAATAAAGATGATGAGAGTACAATCCTGAATCTGCCTAACCCAACACAAGTTTGATTCAGTCCCAACTCCCACTCAACTCTCAAAATCTAAGTCCAGAAGGGAGGTCAAGGTATTAGTTTGTAAGGGTAAATATCAAACTGTATTTCCAACATTCAAACTGGCAGTGATCAACAATCAGCACAAGATATCAAGAACACATTTCTAATGAACCCCACGTGTAGATATATATTGCTAAATGACCATGACTACTGCGTTGGCGAATTGTTTAAAGTATCAAAAGCAACAGTAAACTATACCTTTCGTTCAACAAAACTTCTCTTTCTTTCCGAGACAAGGCCTCAAATCGCTTATCTTTTCCCCATTTCCTCTTAAATGTTTGATAATCAGTGTTGCAATCAATATCCTGAAGATCAGGAAAATGTCAGAAATCAACCTAATCTCTAGAGCTCAAAATCTATACCTTATGATATCCTAATTTCAACAGAAAGTGAGGATACTTTAATAAGACACAGCTGCACCAAACCTCCTTCGCTTCTTCCAATAACTGCTTGAAACTATCCATTGCAGCCCTCTGAGCAGCTCTTTTTTCCTTGCGCTCCTCTTCAGCACGTGTCCGGACATAGTGCTCAAACAGTGCTCTTCGAGCACTGTGACTTGGGATAGCCTGCAAAGGGAAGAACTTCATATAATGAAAAGCAATAACAAGCAAAATTTGTGAAGTGGGAGACCAAAAAAAGATCCAGGAATAATTCCCTTCATACCAAAGAATCCAGTGCAAATTAACACACATTGAGGCAGTCACACAATCAGTAAGTACATTATTTTCAAATGAGGCTGAGAAAAATTCTCCAATTCTCATATCCGTAACTGATTGTTTCTTCTTCAACGAGCATTTACTTTTCATATTTATTCAAACTTTAAGAGTAAAAAACTTACCCAGAAAAAACATAAGAAAAGAAAACTTTGAAGAGCAAATAAGCAGAAAGATAATTCCATTTACCAGATGCAGTGTGTCAGTGTGTGCGCGCACAGGAATTTATAACTACACCCATGTTTGGGCTCCATTTTATTTAAAATGCATTTTTGTCTCTTCTTTTCAACCACACATTCTCCAATAAAACAATATTACATGTAAATTCAAAACTTTTCATTCTTTTTTAACCACACATTCTCCAGAAAATCACTATTCCAAAATATACATTTTTCCCCATAATTTGATTTTAATGGAGCCCAAACAAGGGTTACACAAGATAAGATTCCACTTCACAGTAAATGCTGCTAATATAGAGATAAGCATCCAGGAAAGGTAGATGGACGAATGATCAAATTGCACCCTTAGTTAATTCATCGCTATACGAATCAACAAACCTTAAAACGTGGATCAAACACTATCTTTGGAAGTTCTTTATCCCATTTCGAGAATGGTGCTACTCCACGTTCCTTGAGCATCTCCTAGAAATTCCAAAAGCACAAAGGATAACTGAATGATAAAGCATCTAAAACCCGACCACAGAATTAAATATACAATAAAAGTATAAGCTAGCACATTGCTTGAAGACAAGAATAAAAAGTGTATATAGGCATCAAATGAAGTTGGAAACCAAAGTTGCTATATTCAAACATCCTAAATTAATTTCAAGCATAGACGAATCACCAAAGAAACATGAATGGCAACCTATCTATATGCACAGGGACATAAGAGTTTAGCTATACTAAAAGAAAGCAGGGAAATAAGTAATAAGTCGTGTGAGGTAGAAGACCACAAAAATTCCTAGAACACAGAAAACCAGAAAATAGTCGCATGAATTTATCATTTTTATCTCTTGAGCATAAAGCTAAAGAACCATGCTAAAGCATATATAGAGGACACATTACTCTGACTTATATATATACACACATATATGTGTGTGTGTGTGTGTGTGTACATATATTAGACTCATTGCTAAGAAATCTGCCTTTTTATAAACTCAGAATCTGTAATCAAGTCTGAACACAAGCTATATTACGATTTCCTTTTAATCATAGTACAATAAAAATGACAGCCAGTGGAGCCACAATAGAGAATCATGGTGTTCCAACAAACTAAGCGTTTGTTTGGCCCCCATTCTATACCAATTTTTTCAAACCATTTTTCTTAAAGTGTGGGCCCCAGGTTAGACAAAAAGAACTGTTTCTCTGACAATTGTTGAGGCCACACGCCAAATAGCCTTGAAGATGCATTTTGGAATTTTTAACTTTCCATTTCTGCCCTTCAATTTATGGTTGATGAGAATGGAATGGTAGGGTTAAAATGGTGGAGGGCAATGTTGTAAATTTCCAATTGCATCTGAGGGCAAAATAGTCCATGAAGGCTCAACGGCATTATCCACTTTATATCCATCCTTGTAACGTGTTATCGGGCATGTACAGTAGGAAAATGAGAAAATGAGTATCAAACGGTGGCTAAATAATTTAGGTATTTAGATTTGATTATGAACAAGAAATTGGGACTTGTAGACGATATAATTCATAGAATTAAAAAGAACTGAACAACATTGAGATGCACAACAGGAACACCACATGATCGAAAGATACCTACTAGTTAGAGCGCAAGCTTTATAGAATGCTTATTAAATCAGCTATGTCATACGATTGAGCCTAAAACTGTTAAAGGACAAAATCTCTATATGATGAATGCAACAAAAGCAAGGAAGAAGATGAATGTGTGGTTGTACTCTTACACAAAACAAAAAATGAAGATACATGTTAACGAGTAGAATGGCACCAATTGAAGATAAATCGTGGGAATGACAACTTTGATGGCTGAGAAATGTCTAGCATATAACCAAAGAAGCTCCCATTCATAACATTGATACAACAGAACAAGTAATAAGATGATGCGGACCAAAATTAATATGGCCTTGAGGTGGATGCAAAAAGATTTGACTTTATTGGACCCTAGTAGATATAGTGTTGGATCGAATAGCATGAGCAAAAAAGACTCTCAAGTCAGCCCAAAATCTATGCGTAATAAGGGATGGCTTGTTTGTTGTGCAAAATAACAACCCATAATAACACTAGACTTGTGTGTCCCAATTGGTGGGACTAGTCCAACAAGAATTGGCACACGAGTTTTCAGTCACCTTCAACTGTATTTCAGGGTTCTCAACACAAAAAAGCACATTGACACACTGTTGCACCTCCATATTCTAATTGTTTTTGCACCACTCTTTCCAACATTGTTTCATAGAAATATAATTTGTTTAATCATGACATAACAATACATTCATTAAGTGGAGGAGTCCTCTTAGAATATAAGAAAAACAACATCGAAAAAAGATCAAGAATATATCACATTCTTCTAACCAAGAAATAAGGTAAGTGAAACTCCTTAAATCCTTAGATGTAGACACTTTTATAACATTCTCGAATCCTTTACTTCCAAACTACCCAAAATTAGACAACCATAGTTTCCATGTCATATTACCAACGTTTCTGAGACAAGGCCAATAAGTTCATAAATAAATAGCTCACTATTTCCTTCAGAGTTCAGAAAAACCCATTTAAAACCAACGTTGATCAACATAGCTGCACCAGAAAAAATTCTAACATCATAGTGCGAGATAAATCATTAATAACTTTCCTTGTACACGTCGCAACATACCACAACGTTCTACCATAAAAATGAGATTTTAGAGAAATAAAATTCCTAAAAAATACTTTGGAGGACCCAGCTCACACAACCTTCTACCATAAAAAACGAGTCTTTAAAGAAACGCTCCTGAGGACGTATAAGGAAGAGGGTAAACCTGGTGTCTCTGTAACATCCCAGGCAATGGAATTAATTTCAAAAATTACACACACAAAATTAATGGGAACATATTTTCCATCATTGCGACTTTATACAATCTAGGAAGTCAGAAGAGACTTTTTACTTAGCACTTCCACATTTCTGCTCGTAAACTTATGCACATATAATGCCCGTGATCAAATAAACAAGCTATAACAACTAAAAGTTTACCAGCAATCAATGATCTACTAAAGCTTAAGCTGACAAGGCATTTGAACAGTCAAAACCTTTCATTACATTAATGTCTATTTTCTTAATTAAAAAATATGCATAGCAGGAAGGAAACTACCTCATCGAAAGAACAATAGAATTTGAAAACTCAAAACTTATGGCCTCACCTTATGTACCATCTCAGATTTCAAATTGGAGACAGCAGGCAATGGCAGTTGACTTTGTAGACCAAAAGATTTCACATTGAAGAGAAGACAGAACTACAGCGACTTTACAGTGTTGTATTTAGCACACTACTTATTCAGAAGAACTTTTGCCCAGTTTATTCTATCAGTCAGCATGTAGGAATCTTAAAGCGCATTCAGGAGTGTTTAAATTATAATTTAAGCAGCAGGTTCCGTAGAATTTGTGGATAAGAAGTGGGTAGTAGTTGCGCTCCTACGAAATGTGCGGATAAAAAGTATGTTTGACCAAAAGTGATTACAATTTAAACACCTCCCAAACAAGTACTTAGTCTTCAGGGTGAATTGTCATCTCAATTCTCAAAAATTCTAGAAAAAGTAACACTGTTTCTTAACTTGAGTTATCATTCGGAATGTTTAAGTATATAGCCAGTTGCCCTGTACTTATAATGTTGGGAGTATTGAAAATATGACTGTCAATAACTGAAGTGCACATCAACTCTTTAGGAGAATAGATAAATGGGAGGGTGCACACCATTGTGTGTAAGATGTGCATAAAAACTTAAAAAACAGAACGAATAAATTCAAGAACATGAAAAATAGATCAGCCCAAATTGCTATCTTAAAAGAGAAACCTGAAAGGGAATAAAGATACCTTAAATTGGGTGGTGCACTCCTCTTTGGTAGGACCTCTGTCTTCATCCTCTGAATCAGAAGAGGAATCTGATAAATCACCATTGTCATTAGCATCTTTGCGCTTTTCAATGCAGTCATCGTGATGTGAAACCTTGGTCATGTCAGGAATTGGTTTTGAACCATTGAGGTCCATTACCACCCCTCCTGACAAATCTGGGCCTGGTGATGTAGTAGCTGGGGTTCCTGAGTCCTGTAACTTCCTTTTTATGAGATCAAGTGCAGAAGATTGTCCAGAAACACCCAAGGGTCTGAGAGCTGTGGCATCACGACCACCTGTATTAGCAGCAGGCGTGCTTAAACTAACAGGAGTAGATCCCTTTTCAGTTATTACATTAGTATTTATCACCGGAAGTGATTGAGCTTTTAAACAATCAGCATCCTGTTTCTTTTTCAACTCCGTCACCTCAATAGGAATTTGCCAGCTGCTTAGCTGATTAAATGACAGACAGCAATGTAAGATGATAAGAATCCAAAAATTAATAAGAATACAAGCAAAGAAGATCATTAATAAACCCCAAGTCATCAAAATAACAATAAGGTAACAAGATATAAAGAAGAGACAAAAACAGATATTCTAGATGTTCTCTTATGGCCAACAAAAAAGGTTGGCTTTCAGACAATACGTCCTGGCGTGAAAGCGAGTCTTTTCTGTATTTTTTCCTTAAAGTTTCCTTCAGATTAACAGAAAGGTCCAGTGCAATAGACAACAAGGATGTTGGTACTCTTGTCAACACATATATGAGTCGAAGCTTTTGTGACAGGTGCACTCATGCAGGTGTGAAGTAAGTTGCACTTATCAAAAGATGAAACAGGATAGAGCATCAATTTTCTATGGAAAACAAAAAAATAACCGACGGAGAAGAATATAAGAGGACAAGGGTCCGGTTAAAAATTAGATCTAAGACTACAGCTCTTCATAAATAATTTTCCAATAACGTTATAGATCTGATAGTAATGTCTCATGGAACTCCTATAAACCTTTCACAAAGCAAATAGATCAATTCAAGTAAATGAAAAGGAAAAAGGAAATTGTTGTAAAGATCCTAGTATTTCTATCCGTCCAAATCCACAAAGTAATCAGCATCATTGCATAACCAGAACCCAACAATAATTTGCTATTCATTCATCACCAGTCTTGCAAATATTGATTGGAACAGTTCATCTGCAGATTTTTAGAAAGTAACAGTCTCACGGGTCTCACGGGATGAGTCTATGGAGGTATATTCGACGAGGATGGAATGACTATCGAAATAGCTTGACTTTTGTAGTAGGGAATGGTAATAATGTCAGATTTTGGGATGATTGTTGGTGTGGAGATATACCGCTAAAGTTGGGGTTCCCTTCCTTGCATCGCATTACTATGAGGCTTTCTACTATGGTGAATGACGTTTTAGCCATCCACAATGGGAGTCACAGTTGGAATATCACTTTTCAGAGGGGTCTGCAGGATTGGGAATTGGATGACTATGCATTGTTTCTAACGGATTTGTAT